TTTTTAGAACTACACACGCCAAACAAAACAGCTCCTCAGGAAAAAACCCTCAGAGCCCAACTGCCACCACCGGCTTCCCACAAGCCTCTCACCCCAACACCAGCCTCTCCACCTCCCACAATCCTCCTGCTCTTGAGGCCGATTGGCTGGGTCGCGTGGGCAGAACAAAGAAGTCCCCCAGTGAGCAGCTCTGTGGTCTGAAAGGGCAGGGAAACAGCCCAATGAGCATCACCACAGAGGAGCCAATCAGCTAGATGTTGCTGGTACTGCTGTGAGCCAATCATCAGCTGGAAGTCTGGAAGTTTGCTGGCAGCTGGAAGTTTGCTGGGGCCCCTTTGGCTGTGGCTTTCAACAATTCAACAGCATAGAGGGTGACTGTAGTTCGCAATCACTATAATTTTTTTCTTTTCTTTTTTGTTTTCTTCTATCCAGTATATAATTCATTTCAGTGCCAACAACCTAAGACCACAGAAGCCATGCAGTGATTCAGGGCCTGTTAGGGAGCACTTTTCATTCATATAACCAAAATATTCAACAAGAACAACTCAGAGGTAGAGACGTTTAATTGGAGTTCACAGTTTCAGAGATCTCATTGCTCTAGGCCCAAGATGAGGCAGCACCTCATGGGGGAAGGGCCCAGTGAAGAAAAGCTGCTTAGCTCATTGTGGGGCCAGGAAGCAGTCAAAGACAGAGACAGAGAGACAGAGACAGAGAAGGGGAAAGGGCCCCAGGGAAGATGCACCCTTTGGGGGCAGGCCCTCAGTAACCCACCTCCTCCATCCATCCCCACCTGCCTATAGTTTCCATAGTCAGTCCAATGAAGCTAAGATAGTCTTATTAGGTTACAGCTCTCATAATCTAATCATTTCACCTCTGAACATTCCTGTACTAACAGGAAATCATAACATTCTGCCCCAGGCCCCCAAAAGCTCATGTCTATCTCACAATGCAAAATGATGCATTTAGTTTATCTCCAAGATTCCCATAATTTTAACAGTTATGGCATGGCCCAAGTTCAAAGTCTCCTTTAAGCCAAAGGCAAACTCTTGGCTATAAGCCCTTGTAAAAATCAAAAACAAAAAGGGGGCTGGGGTTGTGGCTCAGCAGTAGAGCGCTCACCTACCACATGCAAGGACCTGGGTTCAATCCTCAGCACCACATTAAAATAAAGGTATTGTGTCCAACTAAACTAAAAAATAAATATCTTTTATTTTATTTTATTTTTTAATTTTCCAGTGAATTTTTATTAGTTAAATCATGATTCAGGGTCCCAGGGTAGGAAGAACCAAGCACCCAGGTCCCCCTTTACCACCCTGGGAGAAGGACAGAGACAGGAGAGGCAGAGTGGAACCAGTTCAGATCTTCCCAGGAAATGTTCCTTCTGCCCGGCGGTCATCCCAAGTTGAAACCCAGGATATGGGGCAGAGGGACTTGTACACACACCGGTACCACTCACATACAGAAACATCGCCCCCTTTTGCGGTCATTGCCTTCTGGAAGCGGTGGAAGTCCACATAGTTCTGCCAGCAGTTCCTGGTCTGGTTCTGGTTGGGGAAGCGGCTGTCAAAAGGGGCAGTTTTATAGTTCTTGATTTTGGTCTTGATGTCTTCAGCCATGATGCTGACTCCTAAAGACGCCCCTGCAGCAGCTCGCAGCTCAATGTGACCCTTAGCAAAAACGCCAATGTCAGACAGGAAATAACTTTTAAAAAAATCAAAAACAAGGTGTGTGTGTGTGTGTGTGTGTGTGTGTGTGTGTGTGTGTGTGTGTGTATTTTTTCCAACATATAGTGGCATAGAGTAAATATTCCCATTCCAAAGGGGAGGAATGGGGGCACAGAAAGAAGATGAAGCCAAAATAAGACCAAAACCCAGCAGGAAAAGAGGTCTGGTAACTCCATGTACAGCATCTAGGACACATGGACACTTGATGAACTCTCCAAAGGGCTTGGGCATTGCCCCATTGGCCTTGCTAGTCGCAGTGCACCTGGGCTCTCTCTCAGCCTGGCTCTCTCCACAGCCTGAAGTTTTTCTCAGCAGAGACTCCATATTACTAGCATCTCTTAATTCCTAGAATCTCCATTACAGTTTTGGCTTCATCTTCACAACTTCATATATCACCCCTTCAGGGGGACCTTTCAGGGACTTTGATCCTCTACACTTTGCTTGGCCTCCCATGCCTTACTTTAAAGTCTTGGTGGAAGTCTCCATGACCCCTTAACTCTGGAATTCTGCATTTCTGAATAACCAGCATCATATGGGTGACACCAAGGATTGTTGGAAGTTCCCACAATACCTGGGGCCCTGGAATTTCAGCTGAGTTTCTGAGCATGGTGCAACAACTTCCTACACCCCCTGTGTGAGCAGGGAGCTCTTGTGATCTCTTCTTAAAGAAATTTTCCCTTATGTATTCTGTAGTGAATGTGCTTGTGCAAATCCCTGAGACGCCTTCAAAGCATTGTTCTTATTGTCTTTGTGAAAAGTACTTAGCATCTCTTTAGGGGCTATAATCTCTGTGACAAGCACAACTTCCATGACCCCAGCTTTACATGCACTTTTCTGGCCAAACTGCAAGTTTTTAAAATTATATATATATATATGGTTGTTGATGGGCCTTTATTTTATTTATTTATATGTGGTGCTGAGGATCAAATCCAGGGCCTCATACATGCTAGGCAAGTGCTATACCACTGAGCCACAACCCCAGCCCGCTTTTAAAATCTTTAAGCTCTGCTTTCTGCTCCCATTTCTCAAAGAAAACCTGACTAAAGGCTGTCTGCAATATCCATAACGTTAACTGAATACTCTGCTGCCTTGAAATTTCCTCCCCCAGAGTAATTAGTCCATCACTTTTAAATGCAGCCTCACACAAAGTCTTAGGATATGAGAAAAATGTAGAGAAATTATTTGCCAGATATAACATGAGTGGCCTCTAGTCCAATTCCCAGTATAGTCCTTATTTCCTCTGAAACCTCATAAGCACAGTCATATTCTCATTGGAATTTTGGTCTTCTAAGCTCCCACCAGAACCACCAATTAAGTTCCACTTACAATATTCTAAAGCTTTTCCATCTTGCATCTCTAAACTTTTCAAAATTCTTCCCGCAAACCAGTTGTCAAAACTTCTGAACTACGTGGTCAGGTTAGTCATAGTAATGACCCCACTTCTCAGTACCAATTTTTATATTAGTTAGGGTTCTCTAGAGGAACCAATCCAGCAGAGTAGATTGGCTTACAGGATCAGAAAATGGATAGTCCCATAATGCTGTCTGCAGACTAGAGAACTGGAGGAGCAAGTAGCTGCTCAGTTCAAGAACTTGGAGCCTCAGAAAAAGGATCAATGATGCAATCCCAGTCCCTGACTGGAAGCCTGGGAACTCTCTGGAGAGTCAATGATCCAAGTCCATTTTGAAAGAATGAAGGAGCCAGAGTTTGATGTACTCAAGCAAAGGCAGCAGCAATCAAAGCACCGCCCAAGAGAGGAAAAAAAAAAATGGCATCCACATTGGTTTCCTCCTTTCTCCACTCTGCTTCCATCCAGGAACCCAGCCCATTGGGCTGCACCACCCATATTCAGGGTGGGTCTATCCCTCTCAGTTTGCTATCCCACATGTCAATAATCTCTGGAAACATCCTCATAGACACACACAAAAAGTCTTTTAAGGGCTGGGACTGTAGCTCAGTGGCAGAGCACCTGCCTTGCATCCTCAGCACCACATAAAAATAAACAAAATATTGTGTCCATCTACAACTAAAAAAGATATTTTTTAAAAGTCTTAATACATTCAAATTGATAATCCATATTAACTGTTACAGAAAGGGACTGAAGGGTTATAGAAAGTACAAGACAGCGCCCCAAGAAAAACAGAGGGGCAGTGTGGCTCAGGAGGAGGGAGAAAAATTAGCCAAATATTAAATCTCTCCAAGTACATCTTTTCCCAGTAATAATGGACCCTGAGGGACAAAGCAAA